TCAAGAGGACATTATTATTTCAAGCGATGACAACAACGCCGTTGGCTCGACTGACTAAATAATAGAAACACACTGAACGGTGGAATAGTTATGTGCAGTCTATATAACGATATTTGTATTTGTTCAGCATCCAAAGTTTGTTAAAAGGATTTAACCACCCATTTCGTATGATTCTTTTTGTATATATTTTAAGACACTACTTTTTGCCATTATCAACTTAATGACATTTAATAGATCAATCAAAAGGCTATCTTAATATTGGGGCTTCGAAAACTATTTCAGGATTGGTTTTGTCATGTAAATTAAGTCCTAGGAAATTATTTTATTCGTATAGAATATTTAATAATAAATAACTTCTTGATCAGCATTGTACGTGTTAATTAATTACCTGAAAGTACAAAAAAAATTTCAAATAACACTTCTGATTATATATTTACACTTATATTGTTTACTCTCAAGACGCTAATAATTGTTTACGAAAATATCACGTAAAGAATAACGATAGTGTTAACGACATGAAACCACGATGAGACATAAATTTCTACGAGTGTCGGACTATTTACGCGAGTTTCGTACACTATTTCACCTACGACATTTTTTATAAAACTAACATTCACAACTCATAACTTCTAAGAGAAGTTATATTTTCTTTTATAACCTCTCATTGCCACTGACATTGATGCAACGAATCATTGTACTAAACACTGATTGCACCACTCATTAACAATTAATTGATCTGAACAGCTAATTAATTTAAGTTCAAAGCCTTAAAATTTCATTTCTTCTATTTTAATCTTTAAACAGCATTGGTCCGTTACCTATACTGTAAAAAAACTAAAATGTTGTTAAGTAAGTAAACAATAATGTTAACGGCTAATTAAAAAAAGGTCGTAGTTATATATATATATATATAAAATATGGTACTGTAAGTGCCATCATCATCGAACCTAATAAGCAAACGATTTAATAAAGTTACTAGTTGATAACAGTAAAATAACTATTAGTTAGCATATATTATTAACTTTTTTGACATTATTATTATATTATTTATATTGAAAGTCTTGACGTAATTAAGCTTATTTATATCTGTGTATAAAAAGTTACACCGTCAAAACTACATTTGAATTCCAGGAATTCCCTGTTGTTATTCTACAGACCTTTCAGCACAATCGGGGATTTATTGTTGAACTAAGCCTTTTCAAAATGTTCTCCCCCCCTCACCCATCCCTAAACACAACAATGGATGGGGCGAGTGTAAACAGACAGTCCCTCTAGCTCAGTAGCGCGGTGTCTCTTGTCGCGAACACATCAGTCTTCTCCATGGAACCTGTGAAAATAAACCTCGTATGGGTGCTAAAGAAATATTATTGAACTATTTTGTTAAGAACAGTGCTGTTAGGATTTTGTAGCAGAATCGAAGTGTAGTTTCAAATTCCGTTTTAGTTTTGAGTTTCTATTAGTTTAGTTTGATTCCTCGAGTGACTTCGGATTCTAATAATCAGGTAAAATATGGAGGTTTAAATAGGTAATGTTAAAAAAGATGCAGAAAATACTATTAAATTATTTAAGATAAGAGCTATTGTTTTATTTTTTTTTTTTTACTTTAGGTCGTGAATTTTGCATACACAAAAATTACGTTGTTTTAATACATTTATTTGATTTTACTTTGTGAATAATTAGCTTTTAAATGTCCTGATTTTACTTCACGAGAACAATGCTTTTACGGTGGAAATAATCAATGGCTTTTGTTACTGAAATATTAAACAACAAGAATATAAAAAGGATACGATTATTTTTTTTTTATTATGTTTAGATTTTGGTTATTTAAAAGTGTAAAAGTAACTAACACCTCTCATAAGTGAATAATTCTTTGTATATTATGGGTTTCTTTAACAAGATTCAATTAATGTCATTGCTTGTTAACGTGTAACACATTATTTTATATAATTTTTAAAGAACTTACACAATTTCTTAATTGTATGTATTTTAGCAAACTTCCTAGATTTTGGAAAATACTCCTCTAGAAACAATAGAAAGAAAGGAGAAACAATTCCACACAAAACAAATTACGAGAATGCTTAACAACTTAATTGAGGTAGAACCTAAAGTTTCCCTAGGGTATTATCGTCTTACCCCCCGCCGCCCTCAACAAACCCCAGGTTCGGCAGGTTAGCCCGTAGGACAAGGTGCAACAAAAACTATAATGGCTCTCTTACAATAATAGAGGCATTAGTTCAGGTCCGACTGTTTGCTGATGGACGTTTCCTTTGTCGTTCTGCATTATGAAAGCATCCTGTTTTTACCTTTTAATTTCCATTTTTCAATAAAAGGAATGCCTGATACGCCATGACGAGTGAATGGAGTATGAAGGAATAATAGTCGACGATCTATCATTGAATATTACGTCTGGAATGAATGAAATGTATTTGGAAAGTTGATACTGGGGTTATTCAATATTTGTCGTCTCTCTTAGCAATTCTTTGACGCAATTAGAAAAGTTAAGTACACGATGTTAATGTATGTTAATCAACGGTTTATATAGATGAATAGATCAAACAAATAAAATATATCAGAAAATAATCTTGTAATAATTGAAAATTGTTTAACTAATTACACATACACAATATAACATAGAGAGGTTATTTTTACAACGAAATCTATTTTCAATTAGGCTTATGCACATAGTCAGATATTATTTATGATATTTTGGATTTTTGAATGTTTACAATACTCAAACTCATTTATTTTTCCAATGACTCTTAATGTGTATAAAAATAAAAACTAAAACAAAATAGAAACTAAAAAATATATTTTTTGAAGAAGGTTCGTGACAGTAAATGCATATATTCAATAGTAAAATATATCAACTAAAATTAAGAAAGTTCGTTTTTATCTTCAGAAAACCCTACTTAAGTTTAATGGAATATTTCAACGTCAAATGGGTTGCCATTCATTATTATTGTTCACTCCTAAGCAAAACACCCACAAGATGTCAAATAGGGAAAATATCAAATGTCTGTTTGAAATTTTCGTCGTGTAACCTTAAAATACTAGTGGTTCAACTTTTTAAGTGCATTAGATCTAGATACACATTCAATTTACAAATCTCCAATTTAAAGTATGAATCGTGATAGATTTAGGAAAGTTATTTTTCCAGTTACAAAATCCTTTGGAATACTAAAACTCATTACTCATTTTATGTTTTTGGCCAGTGGGTCTTACAAATTGCACATATATATTCTTGTTATTGGTCAATGAAATAGTCTGTCGAAAAAACTTAAGATACGTCACGAGAAACTTGTTTGGTAATTGACATGAACTGCCGAATTCATCTAGCTAGTTAAATAAAGATAGGATAATTAGGGGAACCCGTTCTGGCGGATTCTTAAAAGGAATTGGCTAAAATGTCGCCATAACTTTTAATCAACAGTAGTGTCCAAATAGATTATTTCCTATTAACCTAATTTCCGAGACTAATTTATTGGTAAATAAGTCAATATTAAAAAGGCCTTGTTTTGTAAATGGAAGTGACTTAATTCATTTATATTAATTTTCAAATAACTCTAATTTGACAGTATTTTGTATTTTTTGACGAATTTATTTATTTATTTCGAACGGACATCTCCATTTTACAGCCATACCAATCAAAAAATTACAACTCAGGAAGGGTTAAAATTGATAATAAAAAATGTTGTGCTTATAGACTAGAAAAAAATCAACAATATAATAATGATCTAATAACAAACAACAATAACAATGACCTACCAGCCGGACAAAATTACCAAAGGTATACTAAAAAATAAATAATTTAAAACAATAATATGTTTAAAAGAGCTTACTTTCAGAAAATCTATCCTACAAACAATATTTTTTTTCTATTGTTGAGAGAAAGAGTCGGTTCACAACTATTGTTACAAGATATGTTATTATATATTTTTCATTGAATAAGATACAAACAAGTTCATCTATTGTATAAGGCCAACCATAGAGACCTCTTGAAATGTTGGTATTATAACTAGGCGTGAATAAATGTAAATAAAATGTTCAACAAACGTTCTGCTTAGGTTTTAAAAGTCTGTTAGCACGGTTATCGTAATCAATATTAAGAATCATTAACACAACTATAAGCTATAAACTAAAATGTGATATTTGTATCAATATATTGCACATTAAAGATACCTACAACTCGTATTTTGATATTCATGCACGAACCTTTTTTTAATAAATAATTCTTCACTATATAAATATGGTGAACATGTCTAGGTATGGATAGAGCCCAGTTAAAATTTTAAATAATTTAATGTACGAAATATTCATCAAAATTAAGCTGATATTGAAAGAACAATAGCAGAACTTGTCTCACCTATAAACATTTATTAAAAAAATCTAATGATAAACAGGAACAAAAAACATACATTCTAGTTGTATACATCTATGATCTTTCTAGCATGAAACTGATTGGTAAATTAATCCTGTTACATATTTGTAATTTGCTAATTAACTCCTGTTAAGTTATTTTCTTTTGGTACGAATTATTGTTTCATTACCATCACATTAAACGTAAAATCCATCGAAAATTAAAATGTAAATTTAAGTGAAAATGAATTAAATTAAACCAAAAAGATGCATGAATTGTCATTAAACAATTAAATGGATCACAAACTAGCGAAGTCTAAGCTACATAATACAGTATTGGAGCAACTAAACAAATTATTTACACCCCGTTCATTTCTGCATTATTACGAACAACTCATATCATTTGATGACATGAGTTTCATACACACTAACCTGATATGATATTATATTAATCGAATATGAGTGAATATTCATTTGCACAGGCTGTATAATAATCTAACTCATTCATTAATGCATCGATCAATATACGTTTGATTTATTCTTTTTATATGACTGCTTATAAGACCAGTTAAATTCTGGGTGGTTTTTTGGTTAATGATATTATTTTCAGTTACCTAATGTTAATGACACTGTAATGTTTTCAGATACTGTTGGATGAAACCTGGTAAGTGTCCTATTAATTTTCAATATTCTAGTAAATTTAAAACAAGTCATGCGTACACGTTTTAAAATAATAACTGATTATTAATTATTGTAGCCCATTTAAAATTTAATAATGAAAATTTAAATAAAATAATCCGACTATATTTTCGAATTGTCCAATAATGTATACTAGTAGCCTACACTCAAAATGTTGTAGTATGATAGGTTTTACAATAATAGTGTATTCCTTCAAATGTATTTCGACTGAATGCTAATCACACCAGAAATTTATTACATATCAAATTACATTTCATAAAAGTAATGCCGATGTAGAATCAATAAGAAATATAACCTTTCCTATTAACCAGCAGTACCCTAAAATCAAAGCAATTTAAACTCCATATTCAGGGTGGTAGATATATTTATCAGCTAAAAACTGGGTTTTCGAAATAATATCAAGGTAAAAAAAGACTCACAGAGAATTTGAAATGGTCAGCGAAATCACAAGTTGCAGAAACTCAAAGTTAGCTCTGTAACTCAATTACTTTATACTTTAAACTTCCATTACTTCCACCATGGATTTATCATGAAAACCTTTTTCTTGTATTACCAACGAAAAAAACAGATATTTACAGAGAGTAATAATAAAACAAACACTGTTTGTTTAATTTTACACGTAAAATGGATGAAATTTATTTTGATTGATGTTGTAAATTATATTAATATGATGAGTTGTCCTTAATTCAATATATTTATCTATATATACATAATAGGCAAGCATTTTTCTTTAAAACCTTTTTTCTCAGCTGGTGTGCATCGCAGTAAAAATCTACGCATATTGTTAGAGAGGTATTTTTATGTTGATATTCAGAATGAAGATATAAATTAAAAAAAGGTTCAAAAATAGGCCAAAGAAATAAGTTGAAAATTAAAAAAAAAATAACATGGGCCTTATAGGTTGCAATGTTGGTGACGATATAACAACGAAATATTAACAGAAAATCAAAACGAATTAAAAAATTACAATCACATGTTTTATTTACAACATGAAGTGAAAATAAAGAACTCTGTACATTACATATTTTGGTCGAGTTTTCGACCACTGGACGACCTCTAGTATTAATAATTTTTACGTGTATCTAAATGATAAATATTTTTTTAATGTATTATCAAGAGTTCACACTAAACAAATTAAAAAAATACTGTTTATTTAACCACCTTTGGTTTCCTGTCAAAGGATCAATATTTAAGGAAAGAAGTTTAATTTAGGAAACATATTTTAGAATTAAATATTCATATAGAATTAATTAGACTGTTTAAAATACTTTAAAGCGTTTTCTATCGGAAGGATGGTTTGTAAAAGTAAGAAAACCATATAAATACAATTTGCTATCAAACACTTTAAAACCAAATTAAATATTCTATTATGGTTTGTCTACTCATTAGGAGCTTCATCCAAGCAAGGTAATTATTAATGTTGATGGCAGGGAATAATACATTATCATCAATATGGAATACTGTTGTTTGAACATTCTCCATTATTATTTCAAACCCAATCTGATAGTTCCAGCCGTGTAGATCCCTGTGGGTTACCGATGAAGTGGTGATTTTAGTTTATATTGTTTCTAAAACGGTTCATCAAATATACATGAAACGGTTTGTGGTCGGACGCTTTTGTTTGTATAACATTTCGCTCAAAGTTTCACCAGCGAGCCTTTTTTAGTCCGGCTTTTTATTGATGAAGAAATCCATGTTTTTAAACTGTCTTACTCATAACCGTTATTTTACGATTTGAATTTTCGGTACTTTCCTGTTAAAGGGAACATTCATTATTATCGATGATTTTTTTCTCGATATATCGAAATTAACAAATTGAAACATATCAGCTGACAACTACGATAGCCTATATAAATATTGTTCAGAATCAACAAACAATAATTTAAAAATATATATTAAAATAAAACTGTTCTAAACTAACCTACAAAACTAACCAAACTTGCTGTAACATTTAAAAACTCCGTTTAGTATTCTCCACTTAATTCAGTTAATTTGTGTTTTTGCCAGGAAAGTTTTGGGGTAGTTTTGATTTTTTCCATTTCATATGTATTTTGGGGTGCTGAATCCGAATCTGAGGTTTGCCAACAAAAATTCTTGACGCAACATTGACAAAAATGAGAAAAATATGGAAAAAAAAATATTTTTTGTAATATTTAGCTTATAACTCAGAAACTATCAACTTTTTGTTATTAGTCTATATTATAAAAATTAAAGTACACAAAATTTGCTACAAAATGTACCCCTAATGTGGTAATCTCCGATGAACCGTTTAGGCTCCAGAGCTATTTGAAAATTGGAACATTTTGTGTTAGTTTTTAAATTTCTCCAATTATTCTGTCAATGACATATATTCATTGTATATGCCCAGGCAATGGTATTATATAAATCCAAAGTGTTAAAATTGATTAATTTTGTGTTACTGAACCGTTGACTTTTCATTTAGTGTACAGAAAAGTTACACAAACTGTTGCCGTTTAAATTATCCTCGCTCAGGGGGTTGTAATGAGGCAGGTTCTGGCAAACGTTTAGATGCATTATTATTGAGCATTCTAGCTTGTTCATCTGGACAGTAAAAAAATGTTAAAAGTAAAAAAAATTACACATAATAATAAGTAATACCAAAATCATAATTATCAAAATTAAAATGACAGCAATCTGTTAATCATATCTTATGCACCTGATGACGTGATATTTAGATATACGTAAATAATAAAATGTTATGTAGGCATATACTGTTGCTAAGCATTTATATTGTGTGTAGATTTAACAAGTTAATAAATGAAGGAATGTGCGTTTGGTACTATACTTACTTTCTTACTTACTTAGACTCTAGCATCACAGCACATTGTACATCCTCAATCGTATTGGCACCCATTATAAAATTTTGTGTTTAAAATTTCAAGACCGATGCATGGCTTAGAGTGATTGGCACTGTTGTTACCATAGGACAATACTATTTTTTTCATCCCCCATTCATTCACCCGAATGTTAATGTAAACCCTAAGCGAGTTATGTCCACACAGCTGCTTGAGTTGGGGGCAGTGAGGCAACGTTGGATTTAGTTTTCTAGCCAAAATTTGTATTGACTATCTTAAGTCAATTAACCCTTACCACTCACATGTAGGCCTATGCCCTACGCCCTAGAACCTACAATCTATCAAATCTACACACAATGTAAATGCTTAGCAACAGTATATGAGTACATAACATTTTTATTATATCTAAATATCACGTCATCAGGTGCATACGATATTACATGATTAACTGATTGCTGTTATTTTAATTTTGATAATTTTGATTTTGGTATTACTTATTATTATGTGTATTTTTTTTTACTTTTAACCTTTTTTTATTGTCAAGATGAACAAGCTAGAATGCTCACAAATAATGCATCTTAACGTTTGCCAGAATCTGCCTCATTACAACCCTCTGAGCGAGGATAATTTAAACGGCAACAGTTTGTGTAACTTTTCTGTACACTAAATGAAAAGTCAACGGTTCAGTAACACAAAATTAATCAATTTTAAAACTTTGGATTTATATAATACCATTGCCTGGGCATATACAATGAATATATGTCATTGACAGATTAATTGGAGAAATTTAAAAACTAACACAAAATGTTCCAATTTTCAAATAGCTCTGGAGCCTAAACGGTTCATCGGAGATTACCACATTAGGGATACATTTTGTAGCAAATTTTGTGTACTTTAATTTTTATAATATAGACTAATAACAAAAAGTTGATAGTTTCTGAGTAATAAGCTAAATATTACAAAAAAATATCATTTTTCCATATTTTTCTCATTTTAGCGAATTTCCCTATAGGGAAGTAGCTATTACCGTAGGTGGCACGGTAAGACCTAGACCCGGGACCGATTTACTTTTTCATTTTGATGTCCCCAGAGGCCAAAAACACTATTCGTTCAAATTTTTATATATGTATATATATATATTATAGACTTATATATATATATATATATATATATATATATATATATATATACGTCCGTGAACGCGATAACTTGAGTAATTTTTGTCCGATTTTGATGAAATTTGGTTTAAAGGTGTAAAGCGGGATAAACTTGAATGAGTTCGCGAACCAGCACGATCGGACCATGGGAACGGGGCTTTACGGGGGGTTTTATGGGGTAAAAATTGGTTTTTCTCACTTTTGACCCTCAAAACACAAAATTTCCCAATTTCTCTTTAGACCTTTTTAAAGAGCTTAAAAAAAACAAATAATTTAGTATACAAAAGTATTTTTGTACGATTATTAGTAACGGAGAAAATTAAAAAAAATTGTAAATTTAAAATTCCCATGTTATTCTTATGGAGAATATTGTCAAATGTTGTAGTTTGCTTGTTTATGAATATATTTTGATCAAACTTGGCAAATTTATTTATTTTGTACTAAGCTATCAATATTTTACTCAAAAACACACTTTATTAGTTTCCTTGTAGCAGCAAACCTAGGTACTCGTTAAACCTATTGTTATTAAAATATATTTAACTGAAAATCAATTCAGACAAATGGAAATTCGCTTAGTCGGCAGGTTTGCTGCGATGGGGGTATTTGTCAATGTTGCGTCAAGAATTTTTGTTGGCAAACCTCAGATTCGGATTCAGCACCCCAAAATACATAAGAAATGGAAAAAATCAAAACTACCCCAAAACTTTCTCGCTATGAGTAAATTTAAATACAAATTTACTGGATTAACTCACCTTTTCTGTTATCAAACGGAATTTTTAAATGTTACAGCAAGTTTGGTTGGTGATGTTAGGTTAGCTTAGAAGAATTTGATTTCTAAATCCATATAATAGACTATATTTTAGCTTTAAGATCCGCTTTCAATTTGCAATGTATCGTAAAGGAAAACAAAAATATCGATGTAACGATATTTACATAGTAAATCGGTATGTACATAGTTTACGATATCAAGTATTTAATTCATCGAGTTATGT